GTGTGGATTCCTTCTTCTTTCCTCTCAACCACTACCCCCTTCACCACCTAAGCACCTCAACAAACCAAGCAACAAAGCTTAAGAAGAGAGTCTCAGAGATGGAAGCTAGGGAGGAAAGCTAGAAGATATGAAATGCTAAGATGAGCTATGAAACTTACTGTGATTTTTCTTGGATGTCTTGAAGAGCTTTTGGGGTGGAAGGCAAGGTTGGGAATCAAGAGGCAAAGTCTTATTGTTTTCTTATTTATAGGGGCACTAAACCCTAGGAGAATCCACAATGATTGGTGGAGGGTGAAAATGGCAAAAAGATTGGCTAAAGAATGCATCAGGCAAGGCTTTTGGGAGCTTGTGGTTCACCAAGCAACATGGACCCAAGTCTAGAAGGATAGATTTAAATAGTTTGGGGGTCAAAATAGATTTTTCCAAAAATGATTTCTATATAAACACTTAGTTCAGGTTTCTCAGACTTCTCCTGGTTTTACTCAGATAGGTTTCTCAGTTTAAAACTTGGTACGCGAAGTACCCGAAAATTTAGAATTTTGGATAAAAAGGAATTTTGGTGTTGAATTAATGTAAAATGCGTCCCAAAATAATTTATTCAAACACCAATTGATCGCAAAAATTTTTAATGGAGTGAAAATGGCTATTTTGAAATTTCTTAAAATTGGATTTATGAAATTAAATTTTGGGTAGTTACACCTTCAGCCCGCAAAAATATATAATAGCAATTTTTCTTCTTAGCTCAACAGTTTTTACATGGGAATAAAACTTACTGATGAACTTGTTGTACACATCTAGCCATATAAAAAGGGTTCTCGATGTTAGAGACATGAACCATGCATTTGTTGCATCTTTCAAAGTATACGAGAAGCACCTCATCCTTAACTCCTCTTTCATTAGATCGTTAAGTAGGAAGTTCTACACAATGTCATAGAAGTCACGAATGAGTGTTAGCTAGCGCTTCATCTGTTGTTGAACCATTAAACAACGACAATTGGTTGTTGTTGACCATCTTTAGTTCTTAGTTTCAAGAAATCACCTTGTATAAATGTGATGTTCCTACTTGGGGTCTACCAAAATCATTCATTAACCGATGGTTAGGTGGAAGTGCATGGTTGTTTCTTGTTGATGGTTTTTGGGTTTTCGGGCCCAAGGAGGTCCAACACAACCTTTAGCTGGAGGATACACCTTTTAATAAAATGTGTGTCTCAAAAAGAAAGAAAGTTCTTTGTTTAGAATCTCTTCTATTCCCTCTCTGGGTCCTCTTTTTTTTGTGTCTGCCTTCTACAAGAGTGGAGGAGCCTTTATATAGCGGCTCCTCCCCCACTGACTTGAAGGCCCTTAATAGCCGCCTTCAAGACTAATTAAAGTATCGAGCCGTTGGTCGCCTTTACTGAGTCGGCCAACGGCTCTCTCAAGCTCGTAACAGCCGGACCAAGTCCGGCCTTTTAATGCTCTAACGGTTCCCTGTTTAAGAGTCTCTTTGATGATCTCAACGGCTCCTTGAACCGAGTCTTTCTCTGGGCTTGGGGCCTGGCCGACTCCTCGCCCTCGACCCAAGCTCCTGTTGGGCTCTCCTTAGCAATCCTGAGCTAGGTCCCCGTACTTGGGCCTGGGCCGATTCCTGGACTCGGCCCAAGCACCCTCCGGGCTTCTCCTGACGCTAGCCCACCTTTCCCGTCTTGGGCTCTCTTCTTTGGGCCAATCTTTCTTGGGCCGGGGTCCTCACCCCATCAACTAGTCCCTCACTTTTCCATACTCGGTCCGCTAACCTGGGTTTGGAAAAGTAGTAACTGTCCGTCTCCTTCAATCACCGTATCCGTGCCTTGAATGGCCCTTGTAACGCCCGGATTCTCTGCCCTTCTCCCGGATTCCGTGGGACCGTTTGGATCCTCCCAGCTTGACTTGGCACCTATAAATGGCCTACCCTTTTCTTCCTCTCGTACATAAGTCCAGCATGGGTCGTTCACCTCTGAAGGGGAAACAAATTGACTTTGGGTCTCCATGGCGTCCGCTACCCTCAAAGCGGACTCGTCCTGAAAGAGAGCACAAAAAGAAGACTCCTCGTCCGGCTTCTCAAAGGTCTCCTGCCGGCGCCACTCCCTCGGCTCCTCAGCCGCCGACTCCTTCTCGATGCGAGGTCGCCCCGTCATCACACCATCCGCCTACTCCCACAACTGCCAGAGTGACTTCTCAGGACGGGTCCTTCGTTGAAGTGGCCGTTCCAGAGCAGCTAACTTTTCGCATGACCTTCTCCATCCCGCTGAATGACTTGGACGGGCCGGTTACAGGCCTAATGAATGATGAGGATTACGTCCGCTACCTGGAGACGTATCCGGATGATGAGGAGCCGATTGTGCCACCACTTATGCCAGCCTTGTGGGACTCGTTCTGTCCATCTCCACCTGGACCATCGGGGGGAACCTTTGGGAGCGGCTCTTCATCGCCTGGGGAGTGATCATCTTGGCTGGAGTCGGCCTCATATTTCAGAGGGGTCTTCTTTAGGAGCATTTTCATTATCCTTATTGTAATAAGCTCCTTGCTATTTGTACCCTTCTTCGTTTACCAATAAAATGCTATTTTCGCACTGTCTTATATTTCGTGTTTTGTCGTGTACCCATCCGGACGACTGGTCAAGGAGTCGGTCATGTCGTCAGTCCTTTTTCAGTCTGACATCTGCAAGATTCCCCGTATCTCGGGTGAATCTAATCTTCTCTGCGCGGCGTGCGAATTTCGCTATTCCCGGGCGGATTTGATGGAACTAATCTCTGACAGAGATTCGCGTCATCCGTCTAATCTAGCTCAGTTATGTCAGTTACGATTCCTTCCGTGATTACCGCCTAGATATTCGCTTTCACTGGGCTATATAAGGACCCTTCACGGTTGGTGCAAATCACAATTACCCCTCATTTTCGAAGGCACGGAGCTATGAGTTACAGAGATGGTGATCGCCATTGGTCCATCCGCAACCAGGAGCACGCTCGACAAGAAAAGCTGAAGCAAAAGAGGCTGGCTAATGGAGGACGTTTGGTGGGTGACTCGGCTTCAGACCCCATTGTGGTGCCCCCAGACATGCTGGACCTGATTTGTAGGGAGCCTATCGATGTGGAGATGGAGCCGGTGGTAGACGATCCAGAACCAGAGGTGGAAGAGAAGTGGGAGGCTCCTCCCCTTTTTGGTATCGCCATATCACCGAGTGCTCTGGAGAGGCCCCTGCAAATGATCGATGACGGGAAGCCAGCCGTGTATCTGGACGAGATGCCGGAGCCGGAGCCGAGTCCTCTGCCCTTCCGCTCTCAGTACTTTCTGGAAGGCCCTTCGACTGCTGGCCCGTCGGCAGAGAAGGGGGTCAAGCCTTGATCCGCCTTTCCCTGTAATTTGCATCTGGCCGAGCTCTAGGCCTTGTACTTTTTCGTACTTATTTAAATAAACTGCGCGTTTTCTGGCTTGTCTTTTACTCTTATTTTCTATACTTTTTGGACCGACCTCCAGTCTATGTGGCCGATTCTTAGTCCTTTTACGGCGAGACTTTCTTGGCGTGGGAGTCGCCAAATCTGATTGTCGACCTCGTGACCGAAGTCTCTTTCGCGAACTTGACCTGTATCATGCGAACTTGACCTGTATCATCTAACGGGCCGGGTGGTACCGGGCCTTTCTAGAAGCTTCCAGCTCGTATCTGGTGGGCCCAGAGGCCATCGCCTACGATGGGCTTCCGGCTTAGCAGGCCGGGTCACTGACGTTCGACCCTAACCTAGGGCAGACGCGCCGTTTGCAGGCTAGCCCTAGGCCTGAACCGTCGCCCCGCCTTTTGAGGCATTAAATGCGACGTCCCTTCACACCCTGTCACCTCCGCTTCCTCCAACGAGGCGGTGACACGTGGCCGTCGCTTGGGCTTCTCCCTCTTTTAAATAGCCATCTTTTTCCTCTTCTCCTCACTTTCTCTCAATTCTTCGAACTCAACTCCAAGCACTGTCGTTTTTCTCTGCATTTTCCTCAGTCCGCGCCCAGGTTGGTAAATGTCTTCCTCTTCTCATTCTTCTTCTTCTCGTCGTCGCTCGGTCGATAACCCGGCGGCGACCTCCCCGTCTTCTTCTTCTCCTTCTTCGTCTTCTTCTTCTCCTCCCCGTCGCATGGAACTTCCGGCAGACGTTCCATCGACGTCTTCTCTTCCTCCGACCCCCTCTTCTTCGGGGGCGGTTACTCCGATGAGCCCCGCTCCTCTAACGACGGTGGCAGCTCTGCCGAGCGGCGCCGGACGACCGCGAGGCAAGTTCGATTCAATCGTCCGGCCTTCCGGGTCACCGTCCGTCGTTACTGCGACGGACCTGGAAATGGCCCAATTTCTCCTTGGGCCTTCGACCGTGGTCCTCGCTCCAGAAGGCCGGCAAATTTATGACCCACCCGAGGGTTACGTGGGCATTCTTTTGCACTCGGTTGCCCTTGGCTTCCGAGTTCCTCCGTGTCCTTTCCTCTCCCTTTTTTATCGTCATTACAACGTAGTTCCGGGCCAACTGGTGCCCAATTCTCACCGACTTCTCACCTGCTTCATAAACCTCTGCCATCAGTGGTTGTGTGAGCCGGATTTAGACTTGTTCCGGTATCTTTTTACCGTGAACAAGGTCGGCTCACACTCGCCGAGTTTCGTCCAAGTTGCCGCTCGTCCGGGGCGACAGCTTTTCGAGGGGTTGTCCGACTCCATTAAGGACTGGAAACTCTTCTATTTCTTCGTCCGACCTGCTTTCTCCTCCTTCACCTTTCCGACCCTGTGGCCGGCTGCTCTATTCAAGCCTTGCTCTCGGCGTGCCGTCTTCACTAACGATGCGGTCCAGGGCGGCGAGTTCTTGAAGAGCTTTGGACCGTACTCCGTCAAGTACTGGTCCTGAGTCCGGGCCATGGCCAAGCGTGGCTTGCTGCCGGAGGGTGCGGCCACTGTAGGAAGTTTTCATTGCCTCTCTTTTCCCGCTTCTTTTTACTCTGTCTCATTCTGACTCGGAATACTTATGACTTTCTTTTCTTTCGCAGGTCCGTACGACTCCGACTCCACCAGTTCCGACGAGGCTGCTGTGCCGACTCCTGAGATGGCGGACAGAGCTGAAAAAATGAGGCGACGGCTGACCCAGCGCGCTTCCAGCACGGCTACTGCCTCTTCCTCCCAACCGTCACCAGCTCCAAGGTCGACTCCTCCACCACCGCACAACGTGGTTGACCTGACGCCGTCGCCCGTCGTGTCGCCGACTCGACAGCCGCCCCCTCCTCCATCTGAGAGTCCGAGCTCCAAACGGCCGGCCGAGCAGACGGACACGCCGGCTCCGAAGAAAATCCAGTTGAGCCACGAGGTGGACGAGGATGCCCAGATCTGGCAAGGCAACTCCTCGGTCCGCAAATGGGCTGCAAACGTCATTCTTCCTAAGGATGTGGCGACGACCGGCGCCCTGGGGGACGAGTACATCGTTGAGGCCTCACTACGCCAGTCGTATCGCGTAAGTGTTTCCGACTCGCCTCTTTTTCCGTTCTCTTTCTTAAATTTTCTGACTTCCCGTCATCTTGCAGAATCTCACCTTCCAAATGGAGATGAGCCGGCGACTGAGGGAGTATAAGGCCGGGCTGAAGTCCATGGCCGTTCGGGTGCACCAAACGGAGGAGGCCTTCTTGGAGGAGCAAGCTAAGCACGTCAAGGCGATGGAAGTGCATAACTCCGAGATGCTACGGGTCACCCGTCAGTGGGAGGAGGAGCGAGACAAAGTGGTGACCATCGCCGCGACCTCAGTGGAGGACTATAAGAAGTCAGCGGCCTTCGAGGCGGACGTGAAGGCGGCGATAGAGGCCCGGCCCGGCAGAAGGAGATCGCCAAAGAGTGGCTGGCGACGCCGGAAGGTGACAACTTCCTTCTGGATCTGGGCGAGCGCGACTATCGCCTTGGCTTCCGCGAGGCGCAGACGGAAATCCACTCCGCCCTGCTGGTCCGCGACTCCTCTTTTACCCCCGAGAGCTGGGGCCTCAAGCCGGTGATAGACGTTCTCCCGGCGGCGGCTGCTGATCCGACGGCTCTCCCTGCGGCGGCTCCTCCCAATCTCATTGAGTCCTCCCCTCAGGCAGAAGACCCTTCTTCTGTTCCCCCAGTTGGACCAACGGCAGGGGCACAAGTTGAAGGGGTCGCTGTCGACACCCCCTCCGCAGTAGCTTAGGGCTATTCTTTTTGGGATAGCCCCTTTTTGTAAAGGCTGGCCTCCTTCTCGGGCCTTTTTGAATTTTAATGAAATTTCCTTCTTCTCTTTCCTTCTGTGTTGCCTTGAACTCGATTAATTTCCTTAAGGTTCCGGAAATCGAAGAAATATTTCTAAGGCATCAGGCCCTTCTGATTCTGAGAGATGACTTGGGCTCAACGCCCTGTTGACTCCTTATACACTCGCCGAGTCCCTCAAACGAGGCGACTCCTCTGGGCCTTTTTTCGCGGAAACGACTAAGGGTCTGGGCCCTTGTTTCCTAACTTTTCTCGCCGAGTCCCTCAGTCGAGGCGACTCCTTAGGCTTTTTCTTTCTCAGAAACGTTTTAGGGTCAGCGCCCCATTGTTTCTTTATATACCCGCCGAGTCCCTCAGTCGAGGCGACTCCTCTTGGCTTTTTCACGGAAACGACTAAGGGTCTGGGCCCTTGTTTCCTAACTTTTCTCGCCGAGTCCCTCAGTCGAGGCGATTCCTTAGGCTTTTTCTTTCTCAGAAACGTTTTAGGGTCAGCGCCCCATTGTTTCTTTATATACTCGCCGAGTCCCTCAGTCGAGGCGACTCCTCTTAGCTTTTTCACGGAAACGACTAAGGTTCTGGGCCCTTGTTTCCTAACTTTTCTTGCCGAGTCCCTCAGTCGAGGCGACTCCTTAGGCTTTTTCTTTCTCAGAAACGTTTTAGGGTCAGCGCCCCATTGTTTCTTTATATACTAGCCGAGTCCCTCAGTCGAGGCGACTCCTTAGGCTTTTTCTTTCTCAGAAATGTTTTAGGGTCAGCGCCCCATTGTTTCTTTATATACTCGCCGAGTCCCTCAGTCGAGGCGACTCCTCTTGGCTTTTTCACGGAAACGACTAAGGGTCTGGGCCCTTGTTTCCTAACTTTTCTTGCCGAGTCCGGGCAATGGTTATCAGTAATCCGTACTCTTTTATTCAAGTTTTTCAGTATCCTCGGGCCTATACATGGCCTAACCTTTCCTACTGATAGAACTTCTTCAAGTGGATGACGTTCCAGATTTGGTCCACAGGCTTGCCTTCCAGAGTTTCAAGCTTGTAAGTGCCGGCCTGGACCACCGCGGCAATGCGATAGGGTCCTTCCCACTTTACCGCGAACTTGCCTCCTTCCGCGGGCTGGCTTGCTTGCTGGTCTCGTAATACGAGATCGCCGACCTGGAAGGTTCGTGGGCTAATCCTTCGATCGCGATATCTTTTTACCGCTTGTTGATATTCGACCATCCGGCCACTCGCAGCTTCTCTTCTTTCTTCTAGGAAAATTTTTCTCAATTCGAAGACTTTTTTCATTCTCTGTGTCGGAATAAGCGCGAACCCGGTGAGTGGGCTCGACCACTTCAATTGGGACCTTATCTTCGAAGTCGTACGCAAGGGAGAATGGGCTCTCTCCGGTTGCTCGCTGCTGCGTAGTGCGATAAGCCCATAGGACTCGGTCAAGCTCATCCGCCCAATTTCCTCGGATATCTTCCAATTTCTTTCGGATTCTATCCACTATGGTTCGATTCACATTTTCGACTTGCCCGTTGGCCTGCGGGTACGCCACAGATACCTTGGTATGGCGGATATCGTGTCGGCGGCAAAAGTCAGCAAACGCCTGGCAGTCAAACTGTCGCCCATTATCGCTGACAATATGCTCGGGTAAACCGAAGCGGAAAATCACCTTCTTCCATAGGAAGCGTCGGCATTGGTACTCAGTGATAGTGGCCAACGGTTCAGCCTCAACCCACTTGGTGAAGTAGTCGATAGCTACGACACAAAATTTCAGGCCCCCGGGAGCTGCTGGTAACGGCCCCAACAAGTCGATTCCCCACTTAGCAAATGGAATAGCCGTGGTGACCGGCTTGTAGAAGGTAGCCGGCCCAGTGTCCTTTCTGGCGAACGCTTGGCAAATGCCACACTTGGATATCCATTCGATGCAGTCTCGCATCATGGTCGGCCAATAATACCCCTGGACGACCAACTTTCGGGCGAGCGTGTGGGCGCCCTGGTGTGCGGCGCAGATACCTCTATGAGCCTCGTCCATTATTTTTTCGGCCTCGGGCCTGAGCAAGCATTTCAACAGAGGATCCCTGAACGACCGTTTGTATAGCTGCCCATCAATGATTTCGAAAGAGGGGGCTTTTCGTCGAACCTTAGCGGCGACTCCCGGATCCTCCGGCAACTCGCCTGTTTCCTTGAATCGCCGGATGTCCTTTATCCAGAACATCTCGGGGTTCTTCTCTCGGTCCCATTCCTCGCCGGTCACCTGCTGGACTTCTACTGTTGTTTCCTCGATACTTGGTCGCTCTAGCTCCTCCTTTTGGCAGATCTTCACAAGATGATCCGGTACTCCCTCCAAGGCAATTTTAGACAATATGTCGGCTTCCACGTTGTCTGCCCGGGAGATGTATTCTATTTCGTAAGCTTCGAATTTCTTTAACATCTCGACCGCTCGCCCTTTATATAAAGTCATCCGCGTATTCTTAGCCTCGCACGTGCTTGAGATCTGCCTGACTACCAATCTGGAGTCGGTCTTGATTCTCAATCGCTTCACTCCTAAGGCCTTGGCGAGTCGAAGACCATTCAGCACAGCTTCATATTCAGCCTCATTGTTAGATGTCGGAAACAAGTAGCTTAAGGCATAGTATAGCCGGAACCCCTCTGGGGAGATGAGCATAACTCCACCCCCGCAGTGTCGTCGACTCGACGCTCCGTCCGCGTGCATTTCCCACCACTAACCTAAACCGTCCTTCGTGGCGTGTTCCTATTCTTCTTCGCTCGCCGTGCACTCGACCAAGAAGTCGGCCAAGGCTTGACCTTTTATGGAGGGCCGGGGCTGGTACTCAATCCCATACTGGGTTAGTTCCATGGCCCATTTCACTAGTCAGCCGGACGACGAGGGGTTTCGCACGACGCTCCCAAGCGGTTGGTCAGTCAGCACTCGGACGGTGTGGGCTTGGAAGTAAGGTGCTAGCTTTCTCACGGTGATCACCAACGCGTATACAATCTTCTCTAGGGTGGTATACCGCGACTTGGCGGCCTTCAGAGAGCGGCTTACGTAATAAACCGGGTGCTGAACGCGCTCTTCTTCTCGGACTAGCACCGAACTCACCGCCTTAGAGGAGGCGGGTAAGTATAAGAATAAGGGCTCGCCCGCCTGGGGAGTAGACAATACCGGGGGTGTTGAGAGATATTGTTTCAACTCTTCGAACGACTGCTAACACTCGGTTGTCCAAGCGAATCCCTCCTTCTTCTTCATGGCCTCGAAGAAGGGCACCGTCTTATCCGCCGCTTTTCTCAGGAAGCGGCTAAGGGCGGCCAGTCGACCAGTCAATCGTTGCAGGTCTTTGATGGAGCTGGGTGGCTGCATGTCGACGATGGCCTGTACTTTCTCCGGGTTAGGCTCAATACCTCGCTTGGTGACCATATAGCCCAAGAACTTTCCACCTTGCACTGCGAAAGCACACTTTTTGGGATTCAACGAGAGATTATATCTTATCATTACTTTAAAACAGTCGGCCAGATCTTCTGCATGTTTGCTCTCCTCTTGGCTCTTGACGAGCATGTCATCGACGTACGCGGCCATTGATTTTCCCAACAAGTGCTGAAATAGTCGAGCCACCAATCGCGTATATGTGGCTCCGGCATTCTTAAGTCCAAAGGGCATGACCCGATAGCAATAGACTCCGTCCGGCGTTAGAAACGCAGTCTTTTCTTCATCTGCCGGGTGCATGAAGATCTGATGGTACCCCCTGAAGGCGTCCATGAAGCTTAGCAAGGCTGACCCAGCGGTCTCATCGACCAATTGATCGATCCGTGGTAATGGAAACGGGTCCTTAGGACAGGCTTTATTAAGGTCGGTATAATCGACACACATCCGCCACGCCGGGGGCTTGGGTACAAGAACCACATTCGCCAACCACTCCGGGTACTTAACTTCTCGGACATGTCCGGCTGCTAACAGCATGCTCACCTCCTTTTTTACGAATTCTCTCCGATCATTGGCCAGGTACCGCTTCTTTTGTACGACTAGTCGATGATCAGGGTCTACAGCGAGTCGGTGCGATATAATGGATCGATCGACACCGGGCATGTCCTCTGGACCCCAGGCGAAAACCAGCCGGTGTTCTCGGAGCACTTTTACGATTTCTTCTCTTACCTCTTGCGGGAGACCGACCCCAATTCGGACCCGCCTGTACGGTTGCTCAGGATCAATCTCCACCTCTTCCAGTTCAACAGCCGGCTCGGGGCGAGGTATCATTGTCTTCTTTGGGGGCCTTTCCGTGATCTCATGGACCTGCATCCCTTGCTTGCCCATTCCTCGGCAGGCTTACAGGTAGCAGTCGCGGGCGACCTTCCGGTCGCAGCGCACCGTACCTATTCCATTTAGCGTGTGGAATTTCAGGCAGAGGTGCTCGATTGAAATCAGAGCTCTTAGATCCTCTAGACCTGGTCGGCCGAGTATAGCATTATGCGAGCAGGCCAGATTTACCACGATGAATTTCATACTGAGTTTCTGTACGTCTAGGTAACTGTCAATCTCAACTGGCAGAGTGATGGATCCTTCGGCTTCCACCGAATCCCCTGTGAAACCGGTGAGTGGAGTTTTGACGGGATTCAGCTGATCTCGGGTCAACCCCATTTTCATGAAGGTTTCCAGGTATAACACATTAACGCTGCTCCCGGTATCGACCAGGATTCGGCGAACGACAACCCCCTTTATGTCCATGGCTATAACCAACGCATCTCGATGCGACGTCTCTCCAGCCGGTAAATCCCTATCGGTGAAGATGATGGGCTCTCGGCACGCCTTCTTGGAATTCTCCTCGCGCCCATATACTGTCCCGACATACAGCTGTCGGGCCCAGGCCTTTCGAGTATTCGCTGAGTCACCACTTTCCGGCCCGCCAACTATCATGTTGATAACTGGCTTTTGACGCCACTGAGCCTCATCTTCTTCAGAAGCAGGCTGCTTGCCCCGATTGCTCTAGGCGGCGACGGCGGGATCCTCGTCCCCTCGATTGGCGGACCTCCGTCTCCATTGATTAGGAGGCGGGGTTCCTTGCTGGATGATACCCTCCATCATCTTCTTCAGGTAAAAGCATTCTTCTGTGCTGTGGGTATAAGATTTATGGTAACGACAATATTTAGAAGTCTTACCCGTCTCCTCGCTGGTGATGCGGTCATCAATCGGCTGAGGCGGAGGCGGGGCGACCGCTTGTATTTCATGCACCGGCTGTTCGGGAGAAGGCCGGTAGGGGTGTACGGCGGGCCTGTCGTATGGTCGCCTGATTTTGGATCATCGGGTCGCGTCCGGGCGCCTTTCCTTGGTTTCGGCTCGCGTTCTCTTTCCATTAGCGGACTCGCCGACTTCGCGCTGCCGTTTGTGTTTTATAGCCTGCTCTGTGTTGGCCATATGGATGGCTTCCGCGTAGGTAGCCGGGCGGTTGTCTCGCAGATCTCGATATAACTGGCCGGACCGCAGGGACTCGATGAAGAAGGTGAGTGTCGTCTGGTCCTCGACCTCCTCTATAGACTGGATTTCTTTCTGCCAACGGGCCAGATAGGTTTTTAAGGACTCGCCCTCATCCTGATGAATGTCGCCTAGGTGTGTCAAGTCCTTTTGTGGCCTGATATTAGCGGCATAATGGCTCATAAAGCGGTCCGCTAGCTCTTCGAAGCTACGAATCGACCCCGGCGGCTGTGCCACCAGCCACCTTTGTGCTAGGCCTTTTAATGTGGGCAGAAAAGCGCGGCACATGATCGGGTCTTGAACTCCCAAGACCTGCATCTTGGCTTGGTAGCTCAGCAAATGTTCTCGAGGGTCGCCGGACCCATCGAACGTGGCTTGCTCCGGGAATTTGAAATCACTCGGTATCTTAAAGGCCATGATCTTGTCCGAGAAGGGCAAGGCGGTTAATAGCGTACGTCCTGGGGATTTGGCTTTTCCCTCTACCTGCTCTCTCAGATTTCGCACTTCTTGGACTAAGTTTGCCACCTCGACCCTCTCCCGGGTATGATTTCCTGTTGATTCCGTGCTCTCACCGACCTCCGACCCGGCCAGTTTGTCGCGGTTGCGGACGGGCTGCTCTATACGGCGAGCCTCAGTCCTAGTTCTTCTGGTACGATTTTGCTCGCGTGCAGTCTGCCGATCGCGAGCAGCCAACGGGGCACGACTGGGTTCCCTCCGACCTAGTCGTTCTCTAGCCGACCGGCATCCGGCGTTCGGACCTAGCCGAGAATGAACGAACTGTACCGGCTGGCTCTCTGCTCGGCGGTTCTGTTGCCGGTCATCGGGCCCATGAGACGGCTGCTGATTGCGCTGCGGCAAACGAGTGGCAGACTGTTCTCTTACTCCTCGACTCGCCTCGGCGAAGGCACGCCCGATCGCGTGTAATTGCTCCGGGGTGAGCTGCACCTGAGGCGGCTGTTGATTTATCGATGGTGTGGGCGGCGGCGTCGTCTCATTTTCCCGGCTCCGAGTGTTTCTCCGATTCAATTGGTTTCTTAAGTCCGCCCCCAGTCTGTCATCGTGTCGGCTTGACTGTTCCTGACTTCCTGCCATGTTATGAGCTTTTCTAATCTCTTGCGACCGAGATTCTTCCTGTCGTTTCTGGAACTCGCCACACTCAGGAGGACACGCGACTCTTAGTTTCGTGTCGGCTTGACTGTTCCTGACTTCCTGCCATGTTAGGAGCTTTTCTAATCTCTTGCGACCGAGATTCTTCCTGTCGTTTCTGGAACTCGCCACGCTCAGGAGGACACGCGACTCTTAGTTTCGATCCCCACAGACGGCGCCAGTGATGGTTTTTGGGTTTTCGGGCCCAAGGAGGTCCAACACAACCTTTAGCTGGAGGATACACCTTTCAATAAAATGTGTGTCTCAAAAAGAAAGAAAGTGCTTTGTTTAGAATCTCTTATATTCCCTCTCCGGGTCCTCTTTTTTTGTGTTTGCCTTCTACAAGAGTGGAGGAGCCTTTATATAGCGGCTCCTCCCCCTCTGACTTGAAGGCCCTAATAGCCGCCTTCAAGACAAATTAAAGTATCGAGCCGTTGGTCGACTTTACTAAGTCAGCCAACGGCTCTCTCAAGCTCGTAACAGCCGGACCAAGTCCGGCCTTTTAATGCTCTAACGGTTCCCTGTTTAAGAGTCTCTTTGATGATCTCAACGGCTCCTCTTGGGGCCTGGCCGACTCCTCGCCCTCGACCCAAGCTCCTGCTGGGCTCTCCTTAGCAATCCTGAGCTAGGTCCCCGTACTTGGGCCTGGTGTAACACCCCAGATTTTCAAGACATTTGAAACTTATAAAATAAAGGTATTATCTCATTAAATCCCAAAACGTAATACAAGTGTACGGGGTGCTATGCCACACCTGAGCTAGAGAACCCAGGTGCACAGGCTAACTAACTAATATCCTCAAAAATGTAAATGCATAATATGGCACGCAGGCCGAAAAAAGGGAACTATCTACTTCTACGTTCCGAGTTCTAGCGCGCTCCAGTGACTTATTCTTCTGTGCCTGAAAGCCAAATATATCTGTTCAGCGAGAGATGCTGGTAACCCACTCCAACGCGTTGAAATACAATACATATAGAGATATATATAGATATACGAAAACCATTATGAGCATGAAGATATATCCTACGAACTCTAGCTTTTAAAACCGGGAGTGACTCAACAGTTAAGGCTAGACACCAGCAGTAGACATAGCAAGCATATGCATTTC